AAACTCTCTGTAAAGTACAGGGCGTCACAAAAACATTTGACATCATTCGCAGGTCAATAATTTAATCAGTTCTTGTTGAAATCAGCTCAAATTTTCACAGAACATTTAGAAACAGATGAAGATGTTTTATTTTTGTTGTGTTTTCAGGTTGAATCGTTCAGAATCATTTTGCGTCTTGAATCTGCCGCTCGCACTCGCCCGAGACTGTGCGGCGAACGACGGTTTTGGCGAATCCCGAGGAAACGATCGTAAATGAAACCGTGCGCGGCTCCTTCGGGTTTTAAAATCAGACGACGAGACACGAAAACGTCAAGAATTCTGTGTCGACACGAGACAGAAACTCGAAGAAAAACGCCCAAAACCGTCACTGGAGGAATCTGGGTTTACAAACTTATTCTCCTTACAGAATCTTGGAGCTTCGCAAGAGTTTTTGCTTCTCTTCTGATGTTCGTGTCGGTCCAGATCCTTTAGTCCTGGATGTTTTTTTGTTTTCCAGTTGTTGAAGTTTTTCCAAATGTTGAGACGTTGAAGCTTCAGTCTTGGGCGAGTGCGAGCAGCAGATTCCAAGACTGAAACCGACTTCTCTTTGGGAGTGAACGGCTCAACCTGAAAACAGAACAAACAAACAAAAAAATCCTCATCTGTTTCTAAACATTCTGTGAAAATTTGAGCTTATTTCAAGTAGAATTCCCCAAATTATTGACCTGCGAAATGATGTAAACGTTTTTTGGGACACCCTGTATTTTTTACTTTAATACTTTGATGTAAGTTGAAGTTTTCATGTGATGCTTTTACTTTTACTTCTTCTGTATCTGTACTTTGGATGGAGTACTGTACTTCTTCCACCTCGGCGCCCCGACTGGAGACCCCCCGTAAAGACTCTTTTTTTTCCGTGATGGTGCGATGAGCCGTGTTTGTCCGGGGGAACGCCGCCGCCGCGCTCCGGGTGTGTGTTCAGGAGCTTGTCGTGCGTCCGTGTCGTGTCCATGTTTGTGTGTGACTGACCCGAAGCTGGACTCTGTAGCAGAATCCTCCCCCCTCCCCCCAAACGACGACCAACGAAAACGCAAAACGCCACAAGAGTCGGGACGGACCAAACCAGCCCAGATCTTCAGGTCCGCGTCATGAACCTTCAACCGCTGTAACTCCAGATCCACATCTTTATTTTGGTTTTATAAGTAAAGAGATTTTAAACTGCGTCGCCTCCTTTGTCTTTATTTCATTTGGGTTTTTGTGTTCAGAGGTTTTGGCCGAGTCTCGTCTGTGTCTCTTCGCTTCTTTCTCCTCGATTCTTAATTTTTCATTTGTCAATCAAACGAGAAAAGGAGAAAAGGAAAAGAAACCACAGAGGAAACCTGAGACACACATCACATAAAATAACTTACTAACCCCCAGTGTCGGGGAGTAACAGATTACATGTACCAGAGTAATCAGAGTACAAATGATGAGTAACTGTATTCAGTTACAGTTACTGTTTCAGTGAGTGGGAATTGGATTACAGTTACTTTGTTGAAGTAAATGGATTACACAGCGGGATTTTCCTGTTTTCACATTTCGGGGTATTTCATTTTATTTTATTTTATTTTTTTCCAGTAATTCCATTCATAGCCGGACACTAATCCAGGTCTAAACCAGGTCTAAACCAGGACTAAACTAGGTCTAAACCAGGACTAAACCAGGACTAAACTAGGTCTAAACCAGGACTAAACCAGGACTAAACCAGGACTAAACCAGATCTAAAACAGGACTAAAATAGGACTAAACTAGGTCTAAACCAGGACTAAACCAGGACTAAAATAGGACTAAACTAGGTCTAAACCAGGACTAAACCAGGACTAAACTAGGTCTAAACCAGGACTAAACCAGGACTAAACCAGAACTAAACCAGGTCTAAACCAGGACTGAACCAAGTTTAAAACAGGATTGAACAGGACTAAATCCTGCTGTGTGGACGTGTTTCTTCTTCTTCTATCAATAATATTTTTAATTTGGTTCAGTAAAATCTGGGATTTTTCATTTTTTTTTATCAGACAAAACTTCTTATGTGAAGATTTCCTCGTTTTTGTTTCTCTACAGCAAATCAAGTAATCCAAAGTAATCAGATTACATTACTCACTTTAAGTATCCATCCATCCATCCATTTTTCGTCCGCTTATCCGGGGTCGGGTCGCGGGGGCAGCAGCCCAAGCAGGGACTCCCAGACTTCCTTCACCCCAGACACGTCCTCCAGCTCCTCCGGGGGGACCCCGAGGTGTTCCCAGGCCAGCCCAGAGACATAGTCCCTCCAGTGTGTCCTGGGTCTTCCCCGGGGCCTCCTCCCGGTGGGACATGAACACCTCCCGAGGGACACGTCCAGGAGGCATCAGGAACAGATGCCCGAGCCTCAACTGGCTCCTCTCCACGTGGAGGAGCAGCGGCTCTACTCCGAGCTCCTCCCGTGTGACTGAGCTCCTCACTCTGTCTCTAAGGGAGACGCCCAGACGCCCTGCGGAGGAAACTCATTTCGAGCGCTTGTATCCGCGATCTCGTCCTTTCGGTCACTACCCAGAGCTCATGACCAGAGGTGAGAGGAGGAACGAAGACTGACCGGTAAATCGAGAGCTTCGCCTTTCGGCTCAGCTCCTCTTCACCACAACGACCGATACAGCGACCGCATCACTGCAGACGCTGCACCTGTCCACCTGTCAATCTGCCCACGCTCCTGTCCACCTGTCAATCTCACGCTCCGTCCTCCCCGACAAGACCCCGAGATACTTGAACTCCTCCACTTGAGGCAGAGACTCTCCACCCACCCGGAGAGGGACAAGACGCCTTTTTCCGGTCGAGAACCACGACCTCAGACTTAGAAGAGCTGATCTTCATCCCAGCCGCTTCACACTCGGGTCAAACTGCCCCAGTGCTGCAGGTCCTGGTTTGATGAAGCCAACAGAACAACATCATCTGCAAACAGCAGAGATGAAATCCTGTGGTCCCCAAACCGGACCCTCCAGCCCCTGACTGCGCCTAGAAACTCTGTCCATAAACACAATGAACAGAACCGGTGACAGGTGCAGCCCTGGCGGAGTCCAACAGGTCTGACTTACTGCCGCCAATGAACACAGCTCCTGCTCCGGTCATACAGGGACCGGACCCCAGACTCCCAGAGCCCCTCCCACAGGACACCACGAGGGACACGGTCGAACACCTCCTCCAGATCCACAACCTATTTATATAACCTATATATACATATATATATATATATATATATATATATATATATATATATATATATATATATATGTATATATATATATATATATATATATATATATATATATATATATATATATATATATATATATATAACCGCCTCTCCATAAACCTGACATGGCCTGGTTGTGCCACTGGCTTGTCTCCGTGGAGATAAACAAGTTTAATGCCATTTTCCCTCCCAGCTGAAAAGCATCTTTAATACAACTAACAAATTAATGCCCAAAAATCCCTCCCAACCCATCGCAGCATCATAATAACAATAATGACAAGAGCAGAGGAGGACGGCTCGTTCCAGACTGAAAACTCCTCTGAAACTGTGGAGATGCTGATTTGGGATTATGACCAAATTAAGACAAGATTTGACCCGGTTTTGTGACAAGTTTTGTCGTATTTTCATTGCGATCTCTCGATCTGGAATGAGCTGTAGATGTTCAGACTATAATCTCGTCTAAAGAGGCTCTGTTCACACCTGCGCCGCAGTGACATATGGACTGAAATAAAGATATAAACCAATTATTAAGATCACAAATTTACTATATTTTAGTGTCAAATGTTAAAAGTCTAATTACCCCCACAAGCAAATAATAGACCTGCTAAATGTAAGAATGTTTTAGGTATTTGAGCAATAAACACATTTTCAATCCTTAACTGAATAAACTCAAGACTGATATGTTTAATGCCGTACAGTGGAACATTCCAGCCAAAGCTGTAACATCATGAAAGAAGCAGGTTGTGGACCCCCAAACACAAAAGTTATGATGCACCATTAAGAATTTTATTATTTTAAGACACCACCCAGCCCTGCAGACTGGGGATGGAAGCGAGATGGCAGCCACTGGTTATCGAGGACCAAGCTCCTCCAGGCAAAGAACGAGCCTTGAACTTACCACGTGTGGCTGCAGAGTCGCCTGTGCTGGGGGATGCAAGTGTGCAAAGACACATTTGGCATGTACAAGGTCATGCCAATGTGGCAGCAGCTGCACTTAGAGCACTTTAAATAAGGATTTAAGGTAGATCTCTGTTAAGTGTTTGGGGTTCAGCCTCACATCCATGCAGCATTTCATGACCATTGTGAAACATGATGAGGCACTTCCAGGTCATTAGAGATGGTTAAATAGTTTTTTGTTATTAAAAAAACAATATGGCTTTGAAAGATAAAATATTGTATTCACTTTTTCAACCACAGGAAACCAACACAACCCTTACATTCTCGAGGGCAATGGTCACATGACCTCCTTAATGCTTTGGAGTTTATGAAAAAATAGTTGTTCAACATTTCAAAATGGATAACTAAGCAAATTAGACTGTAAAAAAGGGATTATGCAGTGTTTTTTATGCCAGCCTCATTTTCATACAGTCCATTTTGTGACACGTCCAGTTCTCGGCTCCAGGGTCGACTTAAGCTTTGTTCCATATCTAAAAATATTAGTAATGTGGCAAAATGTGGTGCTTGTACCATAAAAGTGAACTGTTTTGGTCCTTAACAGCTCCACTATTTTGGGATGATTCCACAGAACAGAAAATGAACACAAGAAAAGTAAGTAAGTTTTTATTTATAAAGCGCTTTTCACAGACATTTGTCACAAAGACGCTTCACACAGATTTACTCAGTCACTCCAGACCTGGTGGGACAAGCTTCTATTGTAGCCACAGCCGCCCTGGGGCAGACTGAAGAAAATACACTAATCATGCTAATGATGCTAATGATGCTAATGATGCTAATGAATGCTAATGAAGCTAAATGATGCTAATGATGCTAATGATGCTAATGATGCTAATGAAACTAATGATGTTAATGAAGTTTCTGAAACTGGACCAACTCAGATCTGAACCGGTCTCACTCTCAGCCGGGGCGTCTCTCTAGCGCCGCCTCTGGACCTAACCTGAAACAACAGGACAACAACAGGTCAGAAACCAGGTCTAAACCAGGTCTAAACCAGGTCTAAACCAGGACTAAACCAGGTCTAAACCAGGTCTAAACCAGGTCTAAACCAGGACTTATCCAGGTCTAAACCAGGTCTAAACCAGGTCTAAACCAGGACTTATCCAGGTCTAAACCAGGTCTAAACCAGATCTAAACCAGGACTAAACCAGGTCTAAAGGTCGTAGCAGTTGGACATTGAGCTTGAACAGAAGATTCACCTCGACTCTGATGATCTGGGGCCTCATTTATAAATCTCGTTTACGCACAAACCTTTGCGTATTCGCTCTTTACATCGACCGCGGGATTTATGAAACTCGTCCTAAGCGCCGCACTTTGCTTTTCTCTACGGCGGCTCGGATCTGCTGTAAACTCTACACAAAGTCTGGAGACACGGGGAAAAGCCACAGTCGTGGAGAGGAGCAGAAGTGAAGAGAGTTTGAGGAAGAGTTTGATCCAGAAATCATCAAAAAATCCACGAATATAAAAGAATGACCTTCAGATTTGTGCATTTAAGAGGTTTGAAAAAAACACGGAGAAGTGCTGTTTCTTCCACAAATGATTCTCTTCAATATGACACATTTGAAAGCGTGTGATTCCTGAGGCCTGTCGCACCAACGTCGATGGTTATGAAAAACATCTCATGACCACGAGGACGACGCACGAGCTCAGGTCCAACACAGACTTTATAAATGAAACCCCAGGTCTGAGTCTGACTCTGTAACACAAAAGAACCCAGACCAAGACCAGGACCAAGACCAGGACCAAGACCAGGACCAAGACCAGGACCAAGACCAGACCAAGACCAGGACCAGGACCAGGACCAGCTGTGTGCGTACCTCCCACAGAGAGCTGGAGTGTCTGTGTGTGTGTGTATAGTGTGTGTGTGTGTGTGTGTGTGTGTAGTGTGTGTGTTGTGTGTGTGTGTGTGTGTGTATAGTGTGTGTAGGTGTGTATTGTGTGTGTGTGTGTGTGTGTGTGTGTGTGTAGTGTGTGTAGGTGTGTATTGTGTGTGTGTGTAGGTGTGTATTGTGTGTGTGTGTGTAGGTGTGTATTGTGTGTGTGTGTGTGTGTGTAGTGTGTGTGTGTGTGTGTGTGTGTGTGTGTGTGTGTGTGTAGGTGTGTATTGTGTGTGTGTGTGTGTGTGTAGGTGTGTATTGTGTGTGTGTGTGTGTAGGTGTGTATTGTGTGTGTGTGTGTGTGTGTAGGTGTGTGTGTGTGTGTGTGTGTGTGTGTAGTGTGTGTATTGTGTGTAGGTGTGTATTGTGTGTGTGTGTAGGTGTGTATAGTGTGTGTGTGTGTGTGTGTGTAGGTGTGTATTGTGTGTGTGTGTGTGTCTGGAGCTACTAGAAAAAACCTCTGAGAAACATAAAAATGTAAGATCAAACTTTTACCTGAACACTTCACCCACAGACCCTCAGAGGAAGAGGAGGAGGAACCGTAGATACATCCTCTCAATGAAGACGTCTTCACACAGTTAGACAGGACGTTCCACACACGACTCTGTGGAAAACCATCTCTCACTTCTCCATAAACAGCAGAGCCACAGCCCAGGTCTCTGCACACACCAACTGTGCCCTGCTGCTGCCAGAATAATGACGGCTCCACTCGTCTCCACTCTCCTCTGTGTTTCACCTCCACAGTCCCAGAACAGCGACTGGCTCCTCCCACCAACCTGATTGGCTCTGAACAGACAAGAGACAGAGTGAAGCCCCGCCCCTTTACCTGAGCAGTGAAGCCCCGCCCCTTTACCTGAGCAGGTGAGGTTGACAGTGGCTCCAGAGGAGCAGGTGCTTGAGTTGGAGCGGGGACAGTCCATCAGAGCAGACTCATGTCCCTCACAGTGGAACGTCTGCCCCAGAGGAGAGAGCGCCCCCTGGAGGAGAGAAGGAGCCCCACAGTCCAGCTCCCTGCACAGCACCTCTGCCCCCCGCTGGTCCAAGTCCCCGTCACAGACCCCGGTCCAGGACCCGTCCCAGATCTGCACTGATCCTGAACACAGACCGGACCCCGAGACCAACCGCACCGAGTCTGTGGACACATGAACCACCTTTGGTCAGAATGTTTTATCTGTACAAGGAGGAAATCTGTGGAACAGTTTTCCACTGACTCTGAAAGAAAGCCCCACATCCACCTCTTTTAAAGCTCAAACGAAAACTTGGTTTTTTCCTTTGAGAACTGCACTGTGATTTTAATTGTTTTTCTATGGACTGGAATGGACTATGCAACTATGGGAACTGTGCAATGATGAAACTGTATAATGAGTGGAGTGTGACTGGCCCCTGTGGCCCTTGGGACAACGGATGGAAATGAGCCTTAGGCTACAATCCGGTGTGTTTACATTCATGTTGTCATGTTTGTTCATTAACGAGCTCTGTCCCAATCAAATCAATAAATACATAAATAAATAAATAAACATGTGTGACATCATCACTCTGAACCAATAGGACACACACATGTGTGACATCATCACTCTGAACCAATAGGACACACACATGTGTGACATCATCACTCTGAACCAATAGGACACACACATGTGTGACATCATCACTCTGAACCAATAGGACGCACACATGTGTGACATCATCACTGTAGTGCAGATTTATATCTGGGGTAAATATATAAATTATTGGTGTGTTTGTGTGTGTGTGTGTGTGTGTGTGTGTGTGTGTGTGTGTGTGTGTGTGTGTGTGTGTGTGTGTGTGTGTGTGTGTGTGTGTGTGTGTGTGTGTGTGTGTGTGTGTGTGTGTGTGTGTGTGTGTGTGTGTGTGTGTGTGTGTGTGTGTGTGTGTGTGTGTGTGTGTGTGTGTGTGTGTGTGTGTGTGTGTGTGTGTGTGTGTGTGTGTGTGTGTGTGTGTGTGTGTGTGTGTGTGTGTGTGTGTGTGTGTGTGTGTGTGTGTGTGTGTGTGTGTGTGTGTGTGTGTGTGTGTGTGTGTGTGTGTGTGTGTGTGTGTGTGTGTGTGTGTGTGTGTGTGTGTGTGTGTGTGTGTGTGTGTGTGTGTGTGTGTGTGTGTGTGTGTGTGTGTGTGTGTGTGTGTGTGTGTGTGTGTGTGTGTGTGTGTGTGTGTGTGTGTGTGTGTGTGTGTGTGTGTGTGTGTGTGTGTGTGTGTGTGTGTGTGTGTATGTGTGTGTGTGTGTGTGTGTGTGTGTGTGTGTGTGTGTGTGTGTGTGTGTGTGTGTGTGTGTGTGTGTGTGTGTGTGTGTGTGTGTGTGTGTGTGTGTGTGTGTGTGTGTGTGTGTGTGTGTGTGTGTGTGTGTGTGTGTGTGTGTGTGTGTGTGTGTGTGTGTGTGTGTGTGTGTGTGTGTGTGTGTGTGTGTGTGTGTGTGTGTGTGTGTGTGTGTGTGTGTGTGTGTGTGTGTGTGTGTGTGTGTGTGTGTGTGTGTGTGTGTGTGTGTGTGTGTGTGTGTGTGTGTGTGTGTGTGTGTGTGTGTGTGTGTGTGTGTGTGTGTGTGTGTGTGTGTGTGTGTGTGTGTGTGTGTGTGTGTGTGTGTGTGTGTGTGTGTGTGTGTGTGTGTGTGTGTGTGTGTGTGTGTGTGTGTGTGTGTGTGTGTGTGTGTGTGTGTGTGTGTGTGTGTGTGTGTGTGTGTGTGTGTGTGTGTGTGTGTGTGTGTGTGTGTGTGTGTGTGTGTGTGTGTGTGTGTGTGTGTGTGTGTGTGTGTGTGTGTTGTGTGTGTGTGTGTGTGTGTGTGTGTGTGTGTGTGTGTGTGTGTGTGTGTGTGTGTGTGTGTGTGTGTGTGTGTGTGTGTGTGTGTGTGTGTGTGTGTGTGTGTGTGTGTGTGTGTTGTGTGTGTGTGTGTGTGTGTGTGTGTGTGTGTGTGTGTGTGTGTGTGTGTGTGTGTGTGTGTGTGTGTGTGTGTGTGTGTGTGTGTGTGTGTGTGTGTGTGTGTGTGTGTGTGTGTGTGTGTGTGTGTGTGTGTGTGTGTGTGTGTGTGTGTGTGTGTGTGTGTGTGTGTGTGTGTGTGTGTGTGTGTGTGTGTGTTTGTGTGTGTGTGTTTTAGAGCCCGGCCGATATATCGGTTGGCCGATATTATCGGCTGATATGGGCACCTGGGAGGCATATCGGCTATCGGCCGATATACTTGCTGATATGGGCCGATATTTCACGTGGGTCATGTGATACGTCGTTATAAAACTTAGACTCTCTACATTCTGTTCATTTAATCCAATTTACAGACAGATAAATGTCCTAATATGTGACTCCACATCAGTATTTATCTACGGAGTCATTTGTGTGTGTGTGTCCGTACTGTCCCTGAACACACCACAGAGTCACGTCACTCACGTGTGTTTGTTTACACCCGCAGACGTGCGCAACACTGAGATTATTTTCTTTTTATGGACAATCGGTTTGAATCTGGATTTAAAGGACATTTATTAGTTCAGATTTGTGATGTGGGAGGAGCCTGTGTGAGCGGTGAGTGTTGGAAATATGTCGACTTTGAAGCTAGTTTTGGTCATTTGTTATGGGTTAGCTGCTGTAGCTCCGCACATAAACAGGCTGTTTTCTATCTAAAATCCACCAGAGCCAAACCTAAGTTTTTTTAAACAATTCAACATTTACAGTGAATTTTTACATCACTAAATATATCGGTGATTATATCGGCAGCTCCAACTCCCATTATATCGGTTTCATATCGGCCACAGCAAAATCCATATCGGTCGGGCTCTAGTGTGTTTGTGTGTGTGTTTGTGTGTGTGTGTTTGTGTTTCAGTGTCTACAGACGGAGCAGCGAGTGTGAGAGGGTCACAGAGGGTCACAGAGGATCAGAGGGTCACAGAGGGTCAGAGGGTCACAGAGGGTCAGAGGGTCACAGAGGATCAGAGGGTCACAGAGGGTCACAGAGGGTCACAGAGGGTCACAGAGGGTCAGAGGGTCAGAGGGTCACAGAGGGTCACAGAGGGTCAGAGGGTCACAGAGGGTCACAGAGGGTCACAGAGGGTCACAGAGGGTCAGAGGGTCACAGAGGGTCACAGGGTCAGAGGGTCACAGAGGGTCAGAGGGTCACAGAGGGTCAGAGGGTCGTCACAGAGGGTCAGAGGGTCACAGAGTGTCAGAGGGTCACAGAGAGGGTCACAGAGGGTCACAGAGGGTCACAGAGGGTCACAGAGGGTCACAGAGGGTCAGAGGGTCAGAGGGTCACAGAGGTCAGAGGGTCACAGAGGGTCACAGAGGGTCACAGAGGGTCAGAGGGTCACAGAGGGTCAGAGGGTCACAGAGGGTCACAGAGGGTCAGAGGGTCAGAGGGTCAGAGGGTCACAGAGGGTCAGAGGGTCACAGAGGGTCACAGAGGGTCACAGAGGGTCAGAGGGTCACAGAGGGTCAGAGGGTCACAGAGGGTCACAGAGGGTCACAGAGGGTCAGAGGGTCACAGAGGGTCACAGAGGGTCAGAGGGTCAGGTCAGAGGGTCACAGAGGGTCACAGAGGGTCAGAGGGTCAGAGGGTCAGAGGGTCAGAGGGTCAGAGGGTCACAGAGGTCAGAGGGTCACAGAGTCACAGAGGGTCACAGAGGGTCAGAGGGTCAGAGGGTCACAGAGTCAGGGTCACAGAGGGTCACAGGGTCAGAGGGTCACAGGTCAGAGGGTCACAGAGGGTCACAGAGGGTCAGAGGGTCAGAGGGTCAGAGGGTCAGGGTCACAGAGGGTCAGAGTGTCAGAGGGTCAGAGGGTCACAGAGAGGGTCAGAGGGTCACAGAGGGTCAGAGGGTCACAGAGGGTCAGGGTCAGAGGGTCACAGAGGGTCAGAGGGTCACAGAGGGTCAGAGGGTCAGGGTCAGAGGGTCACAGAGGGTCAGAGGGTCAGAGGGTCAGAGGGTCAGAGGGTCAGAGGTCACAGTCAGGGTCAGAGGGTCAGAGGTCACAGAGGTCACAGAGGGTCACAGGGTCAGAGGGTCAGAGGGTCAGAGGGTCAGAGGGTCACAGAGGGTCAGAGGGTCACAGAGGGTCAGAGGGTCACAGAGGGTCACAGAGGGTCAGAGGGTCAGAGGGTCAGGGTCAGAGGGTCAGAGGGTCAGAGGGTCAGAGGGTCAGAGGGTCAGAGGTCAGAGGGTCACAGAGGGTCAGAGGGTCACAGAGGGTCAGAGTCAGAGGTCACAGAGGGTCAGAGGGTCACAGAGGGTCACAGAGGGTCACAGAGGGTCAGAGGGTCAGAGGGTCACAGAGGGTCACAGAGGGTCAGAGGGTCAGAGGGTCACAGAGGGTCAGAGGGTCACAGAGGGTCAGAGGGTCACAGAGGGTCACAGAGGGTCAGAGGGTCAGAGGGTCACAGAGGGTCAGAGGGTCACAGAGGGTCACAGAGGGTCAGAGGGTCACAGAGGGTCAGAGGGTCACAGAGGGTCAGAGGGTCAGAGGGTCACAGAGGGTTTGTGTATCATGAAGGTTCATTTTGTATTTTTAGCCTCTTTAGTCATTTTAGTCGTGGGTTTATACAGTTCATGCACTGAGTCTGTGTTGTCTTCATATTACACTTTAATTTTGTGCGGCTCCAGGCAGGTCTGGTTTTTGGTTTTTTGGGCCAATATGGCTCTTTGAACATTGTGGGTTTCTGACCCCTGCTCCAAACAGCACAAGATGTTCTAAAACTTCTTCATTTACCTGATTCATTGGGAAGAGCTGTTTTAAGCAAATGAACAGCGTAATGTGGCGGCTCAGGTCAGGACAGAGCGATGAGGTCATATCTACATGTTTTCAAGTTCCAGTGTTTACAGACGTTCCACATTGTGAAAAATCTCAGAGGACCTGGTCGGAAGCCAAAAGTGACAACTGTGCTGGAGGAGAGTGACAGAGGTGAAAAAGAATCCACAGATCATCACCAAGGCCATTCAGGTGAATCTGGGCTCTGCTGGTGGAACATCTCAAGACAGACGATCCAACAGACACAACATACAGACGCAGACCGAGGAGGACAACACTTCTCCAGATTAGGCACACAAAAGCCCATTTAGCCTTTGCAAATGCTCAGCTGGACAATGGGGACTTTTGGTCTTCTGTTTTATGGTCAAATGAAACAAAAATGTAATTGTTTGGCCACAATGACGTATCCTTCATTTGGCATAAAAAAGGAGAAGCCTTCAACCCTAAGAACAACATCCCCACTGTCAAACATGATGGTGGGAACCTAATGCTTTGGAGATGTTTTACAGCCAATGGACCAGTGAGTCTAATCCCAGTAAACATCCCCATGAACAAAGAGCAACAGGTCAAGATTCTCAACAACAACATGAAGCAGCTGCAGAGGAACATGGACTTGGCACCAGTGAACATTTCAGCACAACAATGACCCAAAGCAAACTGCAAAAGTACTGAAGAAATGGATATTGAACAACAACATTACCATTTTGCAGTGGCTCAGCCAGAGTCGTGACTTGAATCCAACTGAGAATCTGTGCAGGAGCTAAAGATCAGGGTGATGGAGGAGACCCTCCAATCTGAAAACTCTGGAGCTCATCACTAAAGACGACTGAGCAAAACTACCAGTGGAGACGAGCAAAACACTGGTCAGCAATTAAAGGAAGCGTTTGATCGCTGTAACAGCCAATAAAGGCTTTTCTATTGATTATTGAGAAGGGTATGAATAATTCTGGACATGTCAAATTGATTTATTTTTTTTCACAATGATGTTTCTTGTACAACGTCTTATTATCTCCTGGGAGACGCCTGTGTCATTTCCAATCAAGAAAAAACTTGCCGGTTCAATAAACTTAACTTTAAGTCAAAATTTATCAGGGGAATAATTTTGGGCATGACTAATATATATATATATATATATATATATATATATATATATATATATATATATATATATATATATATATATATATAATATATATATATATATATATATATTATATTATACATATATATATATCTCCTGTGATAGCAAGACTGCAATGTCAAAAAACACGCAGGACACCCCTATTTGGACGATCCAAGAAGCCCACGGCTGGAGCTCGGAGCCTGTGGACCTTGGAGCCTGTGGACCTTGGAGCCTGTGGACCTTGGAGCCCGTCCGGCCGTGGATCTGTCCATCTTGTTGAACAGTAGCTAATGTTTATTAAACAAATATATGAAGTAAGTGCATGTGTGATTCGTCCAGGGTCCAGGTCCATCGTTCCACCAGTACAAAGGCGACTGCAGAACTGCACACCAGAAACTACAGATTTAAAGAAGTACCGACATGTGTGAGTGCAGCAGCCAGGGCCAGAGTGATGATGATTCCCAAGTCGTGTTGTTGCACAGACTGTGTAAAGAAGTGGACGAAGTGAGTTTGACCCACAGTTCAGCGTCGCTCAAATGAGGCTCGTGATGTTCACAGTGACAGGAGAGAATCTGGAGCCAGACTTGATGTTATAAACAGGATTTTTATAGAACAAAATAACTGTTTTGGCATGTGGTTCTACAGCATTAGCTCTGTCTACTCGTATATATGGTCTATGGTTGTATGAAAGTGATGATGATGATGATGATGAACAGAAAATGTCTAATTAAAACGTTTCATAATCATATTGTGTCTAAATGTGTTTGTGACATTCAACATACACATTTTATGTGAACTACTTTTAAACTCTTTGAGTTTTCTGACCAACTGTGTGTGATGTTTAGAGTTTGTTCTACCACATTGTTGAAGTTTAAACAGGAAAATAAAAAATAAATAAAAAAACATGTTTTTGGTGGAACATGGAGGATTAAATGTGAATATTATAATGAAATTGCAAGAAAACAACTAAACCGGGTCATTTTTTAACCTCTTATGATTCTAAAGGTTCATGTGTGTCTTACAGGTTTGTAACTCGCACCATTTGATTCTCTGACCCTGAAAATGTGGGTTTAACATTAAAATCAACATTTCAACTTATTCAGAAGCTGAAATATTTCAGAGAGATTTTTGGTGGCCATTTTTTAAAATTCCATGTGGCCACCATAAAAACATCTAATCTAAGCAAATGGATTGATTTTCTGACTCCACACACAATAACCTTTCCAAAAATATATAGTTTAGCAAATCCCCCAAAATTCCCACAAAAGTAAATAAGGACCTGGACTATAAGATCAGACTTTTACCTGAACACTTGACCTGCAGACCCGAGGGAGAAGGAGACGGGAACGTCTCAGAGATACATTCACTCACTGCAGACTTTTTCACACAGTTCGATTTCACCCTCCACACACGAGCCTGTGGAAAACCAGCTGTATATTCTCCATAAACAACAGAGCCACAGTCCACGTCTCTGCACACAGCAGCTGTGTCGTCCTGGTCCCAGTGTTTAAAAGGCTCATCCACTCGTCTCCACTCTCCTCTGCGTCTCAGCTCCACAGTCCCAGCACAGCGGCTGGCTCCTCCCACCAACCGGAGACTGGCTCCTCCCACCAGCTCTGAACAGAGAGACAGAGTGAAGCCCCGCCCCTTTACCTGAGCAGCGAAGCCCCGCCCCTTTACCTGAGCAGCGAAGCCCGCCCCTTTACCTGAGCAGCGAAGCCCCGCCCCTTTACCTGAGCAGCGAAGCCCCGCCCCTTTACCTGAGCAGCGAAGCCCCGCCCCTTTACCTGAGCAAACCCTCTCCTCTCAGTGAGCAGGTTGTGGGTTTGACTCCTGGTCTGTGTGAGTGTGTTGCTTCTTACCTGCTGAGCTGTTGTTTTCTGCCTGGACCCCTGCACACAGGACCCCTGCACACAGGACCCCTGCACACAGAGTTCATGTTACAAAATGGCGTCTGTTGGTCACATGACTCAGAGCTGTGCACAAACAACAAGATAAACCCAATATCATCAAAAATATCACCAATCTAATATTGTTTATTATTTGACTTTTGGTCATAAAACCTGAGTTTCCTCCATAATTAAGTTCAAAACCATTTTCATCCTTTTAGCAAAAACTGTAGCAAATATGTTGTAGTCATTATTTCATAAAGATATTGGAGGTTAATTATGGATGAGTCGACTCTACCAACACTATATATATATATATATATATATATATATATATATATATATATATATATATATATGGACTGGACGTTTTTCTGGACGTTTCTGGACGTTTCTGGACAGTTCAGGACGTCTGGTCACTCGATCTTTGACACATTTAACTTCTTTTCTATATTTATAAACCTCCTGAAAAATTTCAAAACCAGGACTAAACCAGGACTAAAACCAGGACTAAACCAGGACTAAAACTAAACCAGGACTAAACCAGGACTAAATCAGGTCTAAACCAGGACTAAACCAGGTCTAAACCAGGACTAAATCAGGTCTAAACCAGGACTAAACCAGGACTAAACCAGGACTAAACCAGGACTAAAACCAGGACTAAACCAGGACTAAACCAGGTCTAAACCAGGACTAAACCAGGACTAAACCAGGACTAAAGGTCTAAACAGGACTAAACCAGGTCTAAACCAGGACTAAATCAGGTCTAAACCAGGACTAAACCAGGACTAAACCAGGACTAAACCAGGTCTAAAACAGGTCTAAACCAGGACTAAACCAGGTCTAAACCAGGACTAAACCAGGACTAAACCAGGACTAAACCAGGACTAAACCAGGACTAAACCAGGACTAAACCAGGTCTAAACCAGGTCTAAACCTCCTGAAAAATTTCCCTCACTCAAAGTTTCTCAGTTGGTAAAGAAATAATTTATATTTGTGTGTTTTATTTTACATCAAATAAAGTCTGTGAAGAAGAAGAACCAAAACTCACCCCAACACCAGAGGGACCGGAGCAGCACCCTGAGGAACATGTCCGAGAACCAGGACTGAACCAGGACTGAACCAGACTGAACCAGGACTGAACCAGACTGAACCAGGACTGAACCAGACTGAACCAGGACTGAAAGCAGGACTGAACAGGACTGAAGCAGACTGAACCAGGACTGAAGCAGGACTGAAGCAGGACTGAACCAGGACTGAAGCAGGACTGAACCAGGACTGAACCAGGACTGAACCAGGACTGAAGCAGGACTGAACCAGGACTGAAGCAGGACTGAACCAGGACTGAAGCAGGACTGAACCAGGACTGAAGCAGGACTGAAGCAGGACTGAACCAGGACTGAACCAGGACTGAACCAGGACTGAACCAGGACTGAAGCAGTTCACTTTAAAGTGAAAACAGTGGTGTAGAGCGACGGTGTTTAACTGGACACGACTGGACTGAATGAAGCAGATAAAAGTTGTGGTTTGTGGCTCTGATCCTGATTGTGAATAAAACAGGACTAAATAAAGTGTTGTGGTGTTGGCGGTGCAGGAGTGAGCTGCTCACCTTTGCTCAGGATTTCCACATCTCGCACAAAAAGCAAATAATCCAGTGTGTTTACGGCAAATAAAGTGTCACAATCAAATAAGGTCAAAGGCAGAGAACAGGAACGGACAAATAAGGTCAAAGGCAGAGAACAGGAACGGACAAATAAGGTCAAAGGGACATTTTGAGCTCAATATTTTTCACATATTTATTCTGGTGATAAAGAAGATCTCAAACACAAACAAAATGACATGAACTCATTTTGGACCAAACGTGATGTTGCGTCGTTCTGCCTTTGGAGGCAGTGAACTTGAAAAGCGCCACTTCATGACATCACAAGGTGGAGCAGAGCGTTCGGAGCTCAGACAGAAGAATAATAAAGAACAACAGCAACGAAAACAAGAAATGAACCTGATGAAGTTTCTGAAACTGGACCAACTCAGATCTGAACCAGTTTCTGTAGCGACGCCTCTGGACCTAACCTGAAACAACAGAACTAAACCAGGTCTAAACCAGGTCTAAACCAGGTCTAAACCAGGTCTAAACCAGGTCTAAACCAGGACTAAACCAGGACTAAACCAGGTCTCTAAACCAGGTCTAAACCAGGACTAAACCAGGTCTAAACCAGGACTCTAAACCAGGCCAGGTCTAAACCAGGTCTAAACCAGGTAAACCAGGACTAAACCAGGTCTAAACCAGGACTAAACCAGGTCTAAACCAGGTCTAAACCAGGAAGGTCTAAACCAGGACTAAACCAGGTCTAAACCAGGACTAAACCAAAACCAGGTCTAAACCAGGTCTAAACCAGGACTAAACCAGGTCTAAACCAGGACTAAACCAGGACTAAACCAGGAACTAAACCAGGTCTAAACCAGGTCTACTAAACCAGGTCTAAACCAGGACTAAACCAGGTCTAAACCAGGACTAAACCAGGACTAAACCAGGTCTAAACCAGGACTAAACCAGGTCTAAACCAGGACTAAACCAGGACTAAACCAGGTCTAAACCAGGACTAAACCAGGACTAAACCAGGACTAAACCAGGACTAAACCAGGTCTAAACCAGGTCTAAACCAGGACTAAACCAGGTCTAAACCAGGTCTAAACCAGGACTAAACCAGGTCTAAACCAGGTCTAAACCAGGACTAAAACCAGGACTAAACCAGGTCTAAACCAGGACTAAACCAGGACTAAACCAGGTCTAAACCAGGTCTAAACCAGGACTAAACCAGGTCTAAACCAGGACTAAACCAGGACTAAACCAGGACTCTAAACCAGGACTAAACCAGGACTAAACCAGGTCTAAACCAGGACTAAACCAGGTCTAAACCAGGTACTAAACCAGGTCTAAACCAGGTCCAGGACTAAACCAGGACTAAACCAGGACTAAACCAGGACTAAACCAGGACTAAACCAGGTCTAAACCAGGTCTAAACCAGGACTAAACCTCTAAACCAGGTCTAAACCAGGTCTAAACCAGGTCTAAACCAGGACTAAACCAGGTCTAAACCAGGACTAAACCAGGGTCTAAACCAAAAACTAAATCAGGTCTAATCCAGGTCTAAACCAGGTCTAAACCAGGACTAAACCAGGACTAAACCAGGACTAAACCAGGTCTAAACCAGGTCTAAACCAGGTCTAAACCAGGACTAAACCAGGTCTAAAACCAGGTCTAAACCAGGTCTAAACCACTAAACCAGGACTAAACCAGGACTAAACCAGGTCTAAACCAGGTCTAAACCAGGTCTAAACCAGGTCTAAACCAGGAACTAAACCAGG